CAGGGTCAATGATTTCTACCACAGACCTCAAGATCTCTCAAATGGAACTCGGTGCTATCGTGGAGTACCCTCAAATAATCGACGAAATTACTATGAAGACTCAAAAGACGTTCCCTATGTACAAAATGAGCGTGATGACGACTTCAGCGAGGCTAGTGAGAATCACAGGGAAGGAGAAGAGATGCTTTTGCAGCATGGTAAGCCATTTATTGACTTACAGCCTTAATTTTTCAATGTTCAAGGCTGAATATTGTGACTTTGTTACTCTTATAGCACTTTGAAACACAAAAAAAACATATTGAGCAAGGCAGAGTGTTCAAAGTTCAGGACATCTATCTAACGCATTAAGAACGGCAATTTTTCATTTCTACCTCGTGGACCAACATCATCATTGACAATCTCTAAATAATCAAGCCCTTGGGTTTGCCAATCTAGCCACTAAGAGGTTATTTGGGCTGAATCTCATTAACGTTACCATGCTGGCATGCTGCAGTGTAAGGTAGAGAATTTAAAATTACTAACACAATATTATTCGAAATTTTTGCAAGCGTTTTCATGGTATGGCGATGGTGTTGAAAACCCCGCATGAGGCTGTTCTTCTATTTTGTTGCAACATATCACCCTCATTGCCTTTCCATAAAATTTTCTTGTTGTTAATGTGTCCCAAGTGCCCCCTAAAGAGGGTACAAAATTCCTCTTTATCTTAGGGACATAACGATACAGACCTGACTAAAGATATGAATTTCCAATATAGGATTTTGTCTAACTTGTTCAGAGGAGTTTTAATTCATAGCTTTAGCAATCTTTTATCGCTGCTCTTTCATGATCTTATTGCTGATTTGCTGATTTGCAAGACTCGGTTTTTTCAGAATTTTGCTCGTAAATCGTTTTTTAAAAATTTTCGAAAGATCTGAGGACAGCATAAAATTTGAACTGATAGACATACTATGCGAGCACCTGCCATGCCTCATTTATTGTATAAGTTTCCTCACTATTTGAAATTAAGGTTCCTTTAGAATCTTCTTCGAGTTGTGGAGACTTGGCTACTGCT